AGGGTTTTTTTTTTTTTTTTTTCTTTCATTTCTTTTCACCCTTTTTCTTTTTCACCCGTTCTAGAACGAACGGACGACGTTCGTCGCGCACCCCATTCGCGAGTTTTTTTTTTTTTTTTTTTAATTGATTTCAATCTTGATTGCTCGGTATAAAATGAGGAAAAAGAAGAGGAAATTCGATCGAGAAGGGAATGAAGAAAAATCTAGAACATTTTTTTTACACAATGCGGGTGTTTTCCAAATCGTACGGAAGAAGAACGCCGCGTGTTAAGGGATGTTTTTTTTTTTTCTGCTGCTGCTGCTGGAATTTTTTTCTGTCGGTTCGTTCGAACGTTTACAACAAAACGAATTTCTTTCGATTTGTTAAAAAAAAAAACAACAACAACAACCACTAATTCTCTCTCTCTCTCTCTCTCTCTCTAGCCATCTGCATCGGATCAAAAAAAAAAAAAAAAAAAAAAATTCTGTCAGTTAATTAAATTACATTCGACGGATCTAATTTGAAAGATTATCCGCCATATTGAAAGTGGGAAACAATTTTTTTTTTTTTTTAACTGGCTTATGAACTAATAAGTAATAGCGACTAATTTTTTTTTTTTTTTTTTGTAATATCCCGGGGGGGGAGTCGAAAAACTGTCGTTTTTTTTTTTTTAAATGACTCTTAATTAAGGTTTTGGAAAATCGACCGACGTTTTAGTAATTATTTTTAATAGGGGGAAGAGCGAGAGAGAGAGAGAGAAACGTTCGAATCGAGTTATCGAGTTTAAAAAAAAAAAAAAAAAAACTAATGATAAATGGATTTTGATATACGAATGAATAATCGGACGACAGCGCGTAGAGAAGAGGATATGCTTAACGGGGAAAAAAAAAAAAAAAAAAAACGTTTGTTAGAGTTGTGCGTGTCACGCGATGAACGGTTGAAAATGAGATTGGAAAGAGAGAGAGAGAGAGGGGGGAAGGAGAGGGATGCTGTAGGGCGAGAGAATCAATGAAAGAAGATAATTGAAAAATTTGTCGTCGGTGTGTTTTAATAGAAAGAGGGGGAAAGGGAGAGAGAGAGAGAGATAAGGTGAAAGAATGGATGTGACGAAAAGATTTTTTTTTTTTTTCGTAAGAAATGTGAGCGGAAGGGAGAGGGGGGGGGAAAGCAGCAGCAGAAGACGAAAAAGATGACGTCCTGCTACGAAACAATGAGAAAGTCGTTAAGTTTTTTTTTTTTTTTATAAAAAAATTCAGATGATGGTACTTGCATGCGAGGGATGCTGGAAAAAATGAGTTTTACCGGTCCGGATTTCATCCCCCTCCCCAACGACTTGGCCTTTCGTAAGAATGTATAAAAAATTAATATTAATGAAAAGAAGAAGAAGAAGGAAGTGGAGGAAGAAAAGAAAAAAAAAAAAAAAAAAACCTTTTTCGGTTTTTCAAGTCGTGGCATTAGAGAGAGAGAGTGAGAGAGATAGAGAAAAATGATTTCCCATTTTACTCGTGTCATTACCTTATCCGATGTTTTTTTTTTTTTTCCCCATATCGTAATATTAATAACTTTAATATTCACTTTGCTTTTTTTTTTTTTTTTTTGTTCTCCCCATTTTTTAAAATTCGGATAAGAAGAAGAAGAAGGAGGAAGGGGAGGTGGTGGTGGTAGAGGAGAAGAAGAAGAAGAAAGGAAAAAAAAAACATAAACATAAACGAATGATAGAAAAAAAAAAAAAAAAAAAAAGTCATCGAAAGGAAATGTGAAAAGGTTAGGGGGTAAAAAAAAAAAAAAGGAAGGAAAAGAAGAGAGAGAGAGATAGAGAGAGAGATAGATGGAAAGGTAAAAACGATCTGCAGGAGGGCTTTAATGTCTTCATCAAAAAGGCATTAGTAGGTAGGGATGGTGTGGTGAAAGTTTTTCCACCATTTTCAATTCAAATCTCGCCGATCAGATTTTTTTTTCTTTTTTTCTTTTTTAAATTTGTTTTGCGGCTAATTTTCTTTTTAGTTTCCTTTTTTATTCCTTCTTTATTCCCTCTTTTTCCTCCTCCTCCCGCCAAACAGGAAGATTCCTTCTTTTTGACGTCGAATGGGAATCGATTGAATCGTGTTATGATAGTATACCTGACGAGTCTGCATTTAGAGGCTTCCTTTCCTACCTCCTCCTCCCCTGGGGAAAAAAAAATTGTTTTGGTGTTTGTTTGTTCGTTTGTTTGTTTGTTAAGGTTATTATTTCGTTAACGAATTCCGGTAAATTTAAAATTTGAAAAATCGAATTCGAATGAATTATTCTTTGTAACGGACAATTTTTCAATCTGTCACGTTTGCGATCGTGGAAATTTGTCGTCGTGGAAGCAGGTAAACAAACAAACGCATTTACGATTACCCAGAAAGGACAAAGTTTGAGAAAAAGTTTTTTTCAAAAAAAAAAAAAAAAAAAAATGTGATCAGAGGTTATCGCTTACTGTCGTCATCATCGTCATTTTCGTCATCGATGACGAAATGCGCGTATTTATCATCTCGAAGGAAAATCACCTTTTTGATTCGAAAAGGTAAAAGAATTTTCCTAAAGGTTCCCGTGGGAAAACGAATGAGAAAAAAGGTTTTTCCGTAAATATAAATCCTTTTTTATTCCGGAAAAATTTTTCTGTCGATTCGATTCGATTGTTTTTTTTTCCCGTCGAAAAATTTATTATTTGCTCGATTTTAAAATGGCTTTTATTAGTAGTTTTACATGTCAAAGGTCGAAGGTCTTTTTCCGTTAATTTATTTATTATTATTAATACGGAGCGATGATCATCATCGGGTTTTTTATAAATTGAACGTCTTTTTCATCGTTTCGTTCGTACGACTATAATTCATTTTATTTTCCGTAGGGTAAAGCGTAAATACGTTCATTTATTGTTTCACTTTTTTGATTTTTTTTTTCTTTAAGAAAAATGAATTCGTCGTAAGTAATTGATGGATGGTCTCCGTCAATTTATTTTTCCTTTTTTTGTGTGTGTGTGTGTGTGTGTGTGTGTTTGTTTTCACGATTTTTATAGTTTGACGAAATGGAAAAAAATGTTGAAAAAAAATTGTTTTATTTCGAGTTTTTTTTTTTTTTCAAAAGTTCTTCCAGGAGGTTCTAGAAGTTTAGTCGTAATGTTTCGAGTCGTTATCCCGATTCTCGAACTCGAATCATTTGAATTTTATCGATCTTTATCGAATCGATTCGATCGATTTTTTGTTATTTTTCGTTTCCTTTTCCTCGGTGTCTCGTCATTATTAAAATCAATTTCGAATCAATCGCTTTAAATTGTTGTAAAAAAAAAATTACGATTGATTGATTGATTGATTGATTGACTGTCTGACTGACTAATTGATAATAATCCGAATTGAATATTTTCGTTGAATTTTTAAATTGATTAAAAATTTTAATGTTGATAAAAAAAAAAAAAAATTTCGAATTAATTTACGATCGATTTAAGGGGTTTTATTAATCTGTCTCTCTCTCTCTCTCTTCTTTTTTCACGTCGTCTGCTGTTGTGGATAAATTGATTTTTGAAAACATTTTCCCGCTTTTTTTTCTGTTTAGTGTTTAAGAATTTTTTGAATTTTGTTGTTTGGTCAATCTTTCTCTCTCTCTCTCTCTCTCAGTGCCGGATTATCAGTGCCGGAAACGCATTTTTCCCTCCCCCCTTCTCGTTCGTTTGTTCGTCTTCGTTTTTTTTTTTTGGGGGGGGGGTCTTTCGAGTTAATCATTCGTAATAATAAATTATCGATAAGCATTTTAAAAAAAAATGAATGACGTCATTGTTATTATTCTCGTAAATATTTAATTTATTATCATTATCAAAAAAAAAAAAAAAAATTGATAAGGAAACAAAAAAAAATTTTTTTCATACGCGTACAACGAAAAGCATAATCACGATTATCGAGGCGTCGTCGTCGGCTCGTGGTTTTTTTTTTTTTTCTTTTTCTTCTCTTCCCTATTTTAATCTAACGCTTTGACAATACTAATAGTCGTACACACAATCTCAAACGCACGGGGACGAATTTAACGATAAATTATTTATTTGTGGGTGCGTGCGTGCGTGCGTGTGCGTGTGGGAATTTTGATAATTAAACCGCAATGCGAAACTTGTCGTCGGGGATCGTTATCAATTTGTGATGTTGACAAATTGACGAAAAGGTGAAAGAAAAATCGAATGAAAGAGTGAGTGAGTGAGTGAAAATGTGACGAGAATGAAATAAATTAGAGAGAGAGAGAGAGAGAGAGAGATAAAGAAATCAAAGCTCGAAATGATGATAATAACAACCACAATAATAATAATAATAATAATAATAATAATAATAATAGGAATTGTTGATGGTGGTGGTGATGATGATAATTTTTTTTTCGGTTGGAAAGAAAAGAAGGGAAAGAGGTGGGAGAGGAGAGGAGTGGAATGGGGTGTGGGCGCAGGGGGGGGGGAAATGGAAAAATGTTTCGCAACTTTTTTAAACTTATAAAGTTTTTTTTTTTAAATAACTAACTAACTAACTAACTCCAGTTGAAAAAACATAAAATTTTAAAATAAGGAAATTATAAAGATTAGAAAGGATATAAAATTTAAATTTACATTGTAAACTTATTTAGAATTTTAATATTTAAAAAAAAAAAAAGAAGAAGAAGAAGAAGAAGAAAAGATTGTGTGTGAGTGTGTGGGTGGGGGGAAATATCACGAGAGGGAAAAGACAAAAAAAAAAAAAAAAAAAAATTAAAGAATAAGCGAGAGCTTAGAAGGGAAAGAGAAAGAGAGAGAGAGAAAGTGAGAGGGATGGCAAAAACAAACGAATAAGTTTCACATGTACTTAAAATTTTCCGAGGGGGGGGGAAGTGGGAAAATTAATGTATATTATTAACTTGCTCCCTTTTCCCCTTCATCTCCCCTTCATCTCCCCAATCTCTCATGTTTTTCTATCCGTATGACGTAATGGCTAATTATCGTTTACTTCCGGTTGTTTTAATTTATCATTATTATTGATTTCAGAGACCGGAAATGAACAAGTTAATGAAATCGAATAATTACGACAATCGTAACGTCGTCGGTATGAATTACATAAGTGAGAAAACGGCGAGCTCCGGTAAATCGTCAATGGAAATGTGTCAGGGATGTCGTAAACCCATAAGAGACAGGTACCTCCTCAATTCGCTGGGTAGAAATTGGCACGAAGACTGTTTGAAATGCACGTGTTGCGAAGCGAGATTGGGAGAAGTCGGAGCGAGCCTGTACACGAGAGCAAATCTCATTCTCTGCAAGAGAGATTACCTGAGACTATTTGGCAACACCGGATATTGTTCGGCATGCAAGAAAATAATTCCGGCTTTCGAAATGGTCATGAGAGCGAAAACGAACGTTTATCATCTGGAATGTTTTGCGTGTCAACTATGCGGATACAGGTACGTTGAAAGATTTTTTTTTAAACTGGGAAAGGAGAGGAGAGGTGAGAGGGAGAGAGAGTTCCTGGAGGTTCGTGGAAACGAAAGAATGAAAAAAAAAAAAAAAAAAAAAACGGGAAAATTTTTTTTTTAGTTTGATGATTCCATTGTTTTTTTTTTTTTTTTTGTTAAAAAAAATAATTTTTAAAACGGTTGAAATCGTTTCGAATTTATTACTCTTTTGCGACAATGGAAAACAAAAAAAAAAAAAATTTATTCGGGATTAATTGTCTGTGGATGTAAAATAAAACCGGAAGGGGGAAGTCCCGGAAAGGGGGTTAGGGAAAAATGCGAAAATTTCCTGGAATTTTTTTTTTTTTTTTGATTTCTCACCCGTGAAAAAAAAAAAAAAAATAATAATGTATTCTGTAATCCAATAACTCGGAGGCTAGGTTTAGAGGATTTTTTAAGGGGTGAAAAATTGGGGGATTCGGGGGAGCCCGAGGTAGCCAGGTTGAGTTCAAAAAGAGGGAAAAGTTGAGGGTCGTGGGTTCAAATCCTGGGAGTGGGAGTTCAATTTCAGCTTGTCCAAACAAGAAAAGACGTGTACCTACAATTTAAGAGGATTAGTGACGTAGGCATTGGGTATGCGCCGAACCTTGTTCGAGAGGGTAAAACTGAGTACTTGACCCAAAACAGTGTAAATGCGAAGCTCCGACGGGAAAGGAAGAAAAATGAACGATCAACGGGATTCGGGACTCTCTCCGGAAACTCTCAGACTCTGCATAAGAGGCAGGTACGATGGTAACGGATCGGGATTGTTTCTCGAAGGGTAAAAAGAGAAAGAAAAGGTACCGGGATTTTCCTCGAACGGGATTCCCACTTTCGCGAATGTAGAACTAATGATTCTGGCTCAAGAGGGAATTGAATCTGAAATGCAGGTGCTCCTCCCTTCGGGAAAGAGTTTTAGTTGGGTAGTGGCTTCGGCTGAGTCCCCTCATACACTTCCTCCTACCAGGTGGGGAGGTCAGTGCGAAATATAGTTTTTCTCCTAGGTTAACAAAAAAAAGGAAAAGTTTTCTTCCGTACAAACAATTCCTTCCCCCCCCTTTTGAGTGTCGCGAGTGTCCTTAACAATAAGATGATGACACCCCTCCCCCTTTAAAACGACTTTTGGGATTCCCCTCCCCTCCCCCTCTTTGCTGTAGCGTTACGTTATTAAGATTGTTTTTTTTTTTTCGAATTCCGCGACAGGTTTTGCGTCGGCGACCGATTTTACTTGTGCGACAATAAAATACTCTGCGAATCGGATTACAACGAAAGAATAGGTTACGAAACCGGAAGAATCACAACCGGATACGATAATTCCATATCCGTAAGTTTTGTTTTTTTGTTTATAATCGAATTCAATGACGGCGTCGATTTAGAGAAGGAGCAAAAAAAAAAAAAAAAATTAATTTTACAGGTTTCTTCGACAACCGATTTACCCCCCTCGCATTGTAATTTAACCGGCGATAATTCAGATTGCAACAATAACGGAAACGGAAAAACGGACGGAATTTTATAGTCTGCTACAAAAAGAAAAAAATTTTTTTTTTTTTTTTTTTTTTTTCTAAATGGTAATTTGTACATATAAAATAAAATAAATTTTTCTTTTTTCTTTTTTTCTTTTTCTTTTTATATAAAAATAATCATGACGTCAATTAGTTAGTTAGTTTGTTTGTTTGTTTGTTTTTTCCTTTCCAGAACGTTCTTATGTTTTACTTATGACCGTCGTGACGTCATACTCGTCTCCTTAATTCATTCCGAGTTCCGTTTGCGAAACGAGAAAAATGAACGAAGAAAAATCAAGTTTTAATTTTTTTACATAAAAGAAAAACAAACGGGAAAATTTAATTTTTCAAAAGTCTGTTTGTTCGTTTGTTTATTTGTTTGTTACTCCTGGATAAACTCACTCTCACTGGGAAATAAATAAGATGAAAGGGAATAATAGAAGGAGAGAGATTAATACCGTTATTAACGAGGTGTCAAAAACCGAAGGAAAAACGATTCGTTTTAGGTTTAAATAAGAGAAAAATGAAGAAAGAAAAATGGGATGGAGGGGAAGAGGGAGGAGGAGGGAAAGAGGAGGGAGGAGAGGGGAAGAAAATGATAACGAGCTAGTCGTGTAACTAGTGGGACAGTTAATTCGTGTATTTAGTTAAGTTTGTTATCTTAGAAACGCACTACACTCTCCTCCCCGGTGTGTGTGTGTGCAAAAAAAGAAGAAGTAAAACTTTTCTTCGAACGCGTTATCAGATTATCGCGACTTATACCATTCGTCCCTTTTTCGACTTTCCCCTCCCCTTCCCGTTCCCGTGACGTCATCGACCTTTCCCTTCGTCTTATGCTCTCCTTTTTTAACAGGACAAAACTTTTTCGTTTATTTTTTATCATTTCCGACCAAATGAAAAAAAAAAAAAAAAAAAATTAATTATTTGATGACGTCACTCACCTCGTCAATATCCCGCGAAATTTTCTTTTTTTCCACGTGATCATCATAATAATAATGATAATCTTTTCCTTCCCCCTTCCATCCCGTTTCGTTTATTCCTCCCGTCTACTTCCGGTGAAACGTCATACGTTTATTTTTCTGATGATGATGATGATGATTATAATTAAAACGTTAAAAAAAAATTATTTTCTCCAGTAGGTAATTTTAAAATCAAAAATGGAGATAATTTTTCCAAAAAAAAAAAAAAAGGGGGGGGGAAAGGGAAAAAGGTTGAAAACGATTTAACCTTGCGACATTAATCGAGCCTTTTTTTTCCAACCCCTTTCATGGAATTTTTTTTTTTTTAATGGAAATAATAGTAGTAACCCTTTCAAATTTTTCTTTTTTTCTTTAATTGCCTCCAGAAAAAAAAACGGGAAGGGGAGGATGGAAAGAGGAAGAGGGGGCAGGAGGTAGAATAAAATTTCCCTGCTCACGTGTTTCACTTTTTAATTCTCCCATTATCGGCCCGAATAATAAAGGAAGGAAAAAAAAATTATTAAATGTAAATGAAACGAAATCATTTTTTTTATAATCGGAATAAATATATATATATATATATATATATATAATAATAATGATAATGATACTAAAACTGGAGAAAAAAAAGGGAAGCTGGAGGGGGGGAATCGGATGAAAAAATAAATAAAAATAAATTTGTATGCGAATCATCATCATCATTTCTCCCGTGTCAGATTGCGTAACAAGAAAAAAAAAACAATTTTCCGACTAATTGCGTTTTTTAATAAAAAAAAAAAGTGACGTAATAAACGCGACAACAAACGGAAACGGAAACGGAAATAAAGAAGTAAAGAAAAAAAAATTTTTTTTTATATTAAAAAGAGACAAAAGATAAACTTAAAAAAAAAAAAAAAAAAAAAACGCGTAAAATAAAAAAAGATAAAAAAAAAAAAAAATTCACGAGTTTCGGTTTGATGATGACGTAAACGCGGTGTGACGTCATAGTGAAGTTCCGAATAATTCTCCGGTGACGTTTATGTAAGCGAATGCACCGCTTTCCGGTTGCGGTTGACTTTGTATAAATTGTTCGGCTTCCTTATCGATGGAATCCTTGTAATCCGGATCGTTTTGACATTGATCGTACCACGAGACCAACGGAGGTATGGGTCCGAGTAGGGGCATGCGACGAAAGGGTCCTTCAATTCTCAAATCGTGAACGTACCTGTGAATAACGCGAAGGTAGTGCAAAATGAAAAAAAGAAAAAAGGAAGGAAAAGTGAAGAGGAAAGAGGCTGGGACGACGAAAGTGGGAGAAGAAAAATTGAAAATGATCGTGTCATGTCATCTTACCCTATGAGAGCCTGTAAGTACTCGTTACGTAATTCTTTCATTTCTATGCAGTTTCCTTCTTCCGGTGCGATTCCACAGAGTAATTGAACCCAACAAGCCGCGATAGTTTTCTCTTCCGGATCCGGAAGTAGAGCTATGTAGGGTCGGGAAAGCCAGAGAAAAAATTGAAATTGAGAATCTAAAACGGGTCCGAGATTGTTCGTGGCTTGTGGACAATTTCCGTCGTGTAAATAACAATCCGTCTGTTGTTACGATAAGAAAAAAAAAAAAAATTTTTTTTATTTTCGCTCCGTAAAAAAAGGTATTTCTCTCTCTCTCTCTCTCAAAAAAAAAGAAAAAAATTTCATTACGTGTTTCATTTCCGCCGGTAAATCATTCAATGTTTCTTCCCATTGTTTTTCTAATTCCCACGATGCGAGCGGAAGCGGTTTACCCATGCTGATTTCTTTTATTTCCGGTAAAACTCCCAATGGCGGTTCTTGACGGAATATTCCAAACGTTTCGTCGTTGTATAAAGTTATCGTCAAATACAGCAAATACCTGTTAAATCATTATTATTACTAATATTATTATTATTATTATTATTATTATTAACAAGTACTTCCGGTGTAGATTTTAAACTACCACTCATTTCCGCTTACTTGTTTCTTTTGGGTTTTAAAACCGACGAATGATATTCCGGTTTGAAAAGTTTTCTTATCCATAAATGCGACGTGAGTTTGTCGTATTCGCGAGACAAAGTCGGTACGAAATTTTTCAAAACGGCCCTGGAAAAAAAATAATAATAATAATAAATACAAACGACAAACAAACGATATCAGTTAGGGGGCGGGGGGAAAGATGGGGAACTTGACGGGTTTATCGAAAACGCGACAAAATTTAAAACGATCGGAAATATTAAGAGAATAGAATGAAAATTTAAAAAAAAAATAATAATTTTAGATCAATCAATCAATCACTCTCTTCCCCCCCCCTGTATACAAGAATTTTGAAATGCGACGAAAGACGTGTCACAAGAATTTTCAGATAGGAAATCTAAAAAAAAAAAAATCTTTCGTGCGTCGTTCTGTTATCATTTTCAAAATGAAAAAAAAAACTGGGAAATCACCGCAACTTCCGGTTCACGTCAACCCCAACACGTAAGTCTGCATATAATAATAATAATAATAATAATAATAATAATAATAATAATAATAATAATAATAATAATAATAATAATTACCCGTAATAAACAAATTCGGTGCTTAATATGTCGACGTTCGATCCTTTACTACTCGGTGTTTCCGTTTTGCTGGGTTTTGGAATGACCGACGGACCGCTGGAGGGTCTACCGGAGCCACCGTGGCCACCGAGGCCACCGGAGCCACCGTGGCCACCGGAGCCACCGTGGCCACCGGAGCCACCGAGGCCACCGGAGCCACCGTGGCCACCGGAGCCACCGAGGCCACCGGAGCCACCGTGGCCACCGGAGCCCCCGAGGCCACCGGAGCCACCGAGGCCACCGGAGCCCCCGAGATTACCGGAGCCCCCAAGATTACCGGGGCCACCGGAGCCACCGAGGCCACCGGAGCCACCGTGGCCACCGGAGCCCCCGAGATTACCGGAGCCCCCAAGATTACCGGGGCCACCGGAGCCACCGTGGCCACCGGAGCCCCCGAGATTACCGGAGCCCCCAAGATTACCGGGGCCACCAAAGCCACCGGAGCCACCGGCGCCACCGGTACTCACGACCGATTGTTCCGCCATTTGATTACCCGTTTGACTCCCCGGTTGACTCCCCGTTTGTTGTTTTCCCGTTTGACTCCCCGGTTGACTCCCCGGTTGTAGTTTTCCCGTTTGACTCCCCGGTTGACTCCCCGTTTGTTGTTTTCCCGTTTGATTCGCCTTTTGACTCGGAGTCAGAGATACGGCTGAGGATTTGTTACCGTTTGTTTGACTCGGGGTTTTATTTGCCGTTTTACTACCCCTCGGAACCATACTGATATCATTGTCTGTGACATTTCTCCCTTGTGACATTTTTTTACCTGAAAGTTTTAATATATTTTTCATTTCCGCCCGGTAAATATTTTTCAATCAAACGGGAAAACTCACATAAATAATTTTACGAGGATTTAAAAAAAAAAAAAAAAAAAAAAATTGGCGCCAAAAAAATGGCACGAACGAAAAAGGAAAAAAAAAATTTTTTTTTTTTTTAAAATTAAAAACTAAACTATTAATTTAATTTTTTTTTATTCGAATAATAATAATAATAATAAAAGTAATAACAATAAATCTAAGAAGGCGGTGAGGGTAAAAAAAAAAATTCCCCCTTCCCCTTCAATAAGTTGTTCGTGCGCGTTCACGCATTCATATTTAAATTTACAAATTCCGCCAAAAACTTTAGTGTGATAGGAAACAGGAAGTGACGTTTTTTGTTTTCTTTTCTACCTCGTCCTCTTACGTATCAATTAATTAATATTTTTTTTTTGTTTTGAATCTCGGTCGTGATTTTTAAAAATGGCGCGCGAAATTTGTTTTTTTTTTTTAACGATAGCAAAATAGTTGAAGGGTGAAAAAAAAGGGTAAAAAGGTAAGGAAAGGAAAGGAAAAAAAAAGGTTTTGATTGTAAATTTTTATAATATTACGACGACAGAAATGACGGGAAAAAGGGAGGGAGCAGGAGGGGGAAAATTCCGGGAGGCGGAGGGTAGGAAAAAAATGAAAAAAAAAAAATTTGTTTTTTTTTTTCCTCTTTTTTTCTTCTTCCTTCTCATTTTCCTGCCCGGGGTGAAGTGGGGTGGGGGAGGGGGAAAGGGAAAAAGAAAGCCGGGGAGTCAGAAAAAAATGATAATGATGATGAGAACGACGACATAAAATATTTTAAATATTCAGAAGGTTTTAGAGATCCGCGTGAGACAATCATCAACTGCCATTAAAAACTTTTTATGTAATTACTTTTAAATATTTATTTACTTTTTTTTTTTTTTCATCTTCTTCTTCTTTCTCTTTTCTTCTCTTTTTTTCCTCCCCTTTTGATTATTTTCACGTTAAAAAGTTCATACGCCCTCCCCCCTGCCCCCCGAACTCCGAACTATGAACTCCGAGAACCAACCCTTAAATAAAAAAAAGTCGAATTAAAAAAAATTTGTTTTTTTTTGTGACTCGTTTTCGTATTTTGTTTCTCTCTTATCATTTGCAAAACACAAACGAATCGTAATCGAAACAAACACAGCAACAAACAAACAAACAAACAAACAACCGAAAGTTTTTAAATTGAATATAAAATTACAAATAAGTTATTTAAAACAAAAATTTCATCGAGGAGGGAATGAGAAAGAGAGAGAGGATTATGTCTTAATTTCGTGTAATAATTAACGGAAAATGACGTCAGGTACACCATTTTGTAATCGTTTCCGTTTCCCATTCATCCCCTTCCCCCCTCTCACCCCCTCACTCTCCCCATCTTTTTCTGAGACAATGAATACACATTCTAAATGTTTTTTTTTTTTTTTGATAAAACAATCGTCGCACGCGTTAAAAAATTTTCCCTTTTAAATTAAGGATAAAATGAAGAGAGAGGGAAAGAGAGAGAGAGAGAGAGAGATACAAATTTCAAATCTCGATGATGCTGTTGGAAAAACGTATATATAATCGAAGGTAAAAAGATAAAAAAAGCTTTTCCCGAACAAATTGTAAAGTTTTCTTTTTTTTGTAAACCGGCGACAAAAATAAAATGTAGTAGTAGTAGTGGTAGTAGTAGGTAGTTGTAAAGCTTGATAAATTTAACAGTAAAAACTTTTTTAAATCTTTTTTCCCCCTCTCTCTTCCCCTCTCACCCTCCCTCTCTCTTTCTCTTTCTCTCTTTCCAATTTTTTAAAACTCTTTTGCATTTTATACCTATTAATATTTTCACGTGATTTCAAACTCGAGCTTTTGAAAAAGTTTTAAAAAAAAAGTGGGAGAGAGAGAGAGAGAGAAAGAGAGAGATGGAGGAAAAAAACCGTTAGAAAAAATCACGCGGATAATTCGAAATTAAGGTGGTTGGTACTACCTGGGCGGTACCCACACGTTGATTAATAAAAAACAAAATGGCGTCGTTGTAATTTTGTCCCCTCCCACTTCCTTCGGTCCGAGAGAAAAATTTCCGTTTTTTTACCCCCGTCTCACCCCTCCCTCCTTTTTCTACTTCCGCGACATTTTCTTCTTCCACGACAAAAAAAAAATGTAAAACGACACACAAAAGGAACCGTTTTAGATTATTTCTCTCTCTCTCTCTCTGTCTCTCGCTCTATTCAATGGTGGTGGCGGGGGTAGCGGAGGTAGCGGTAGTGGTGGTGGTGGTGGTGGTAAATATAATTGTAATAAAATCTCGGAGAATAAGTAAAAGGAAGCAATAAACAGAGAATGAATTCGGGCTGATAAACATTAAATGCCTAAAGGGCCCTGCCTAAACTTTGGAAGAAAGAAGATAGAGAGAAAGAGAGAGAAAAGGGAATTTAGATGAAAACTCAAAAAAAAGGAGAAGAAGAGGATGAGGGAAAAAAAACAAGAGGAGAGGAAAAGGAGGAGAAGAAGGAGAAAAATTTTGGAATGTTATAGAAGAATAATAAGAGAGAAAGTGGGAAGTCGGAAGTGAAAGTGGAAGAAGAAAAAGAAGAGAGAGGAAGTTGTGGGGCTGTAAGTTGAAAAAGTAAGTTAAGACAGTCTCTCTCTCTCTCTCTTGTTTAATGGCCCCCAAGTGAATCGTTATTTTTGGGGACTCGTTACAAACTATATAAAGATTATCTAAACTGCACCGTCGATTTTGAGTCTCGAAGTCGTCGTCGTCGTCGTCGTCGTCTACGATTCCATTTTTTTTTTTTCAAAATTAAATTTTCATAATTCAAATTTTTTTTTTTGTTTTCTACCGGAAACGGAAACGAGGATTTTTCCCCAAAAAAAAAACGTGAAAAAAAAAATCGATAATTTAATTTAATGCGTCACGACGATTTTACCTACCGCGAAAAAACTTTTTTAATTAGTTTCTTATCGTTTGTTATTTCTTTTCCATAAATTCCCTTCCCCCGTCTCCCTTCTTCCCACTCCCTCCCCCCACTCTCGCTCCCGAAAAAAAGATTTAAATTTTTTTCCCTAACGGAAGGGTTGATCCTCCTTCCCCCCGTCTCCCCTTTACAAAAATTATCAGAGGGGCGGTGATGAAAATGGAAAAAACGCGGCGTTTCGAATTTAAACAACCGAAATGAAAAAAAAAAAAAAAAAAAAAAAAAAAAAAATTAACATAAAATCGTGTTCGTTTGTTTGTTTGTTCGGTTGTTCGGTTGTTTTTTCAAGTTTTCCAGAAGTTTCTCTGTCCGGTATTTCATTTCGACATCAGATGGTCAAACACGATTTTCTACCTAACTTTTACTATTTTTAATTAATTTTCCCTCCTTTTTTTTTAAATTTAAAATGTTGTTGTTGTTGTGGTGGTTGTCGTTGTTGTTGTTGTCCATCGTCGCCACCCTTGAATGATTTTGTTTTTTTTGAATTGCTAAAATAGTAATAAAAGAATAGAGGAGGAAGAAAAAGGGAGAAAAAATGAAATTGAAAAAGTGATGAAACGGAAGAAATAAAGGGAAGAAAAAACGGAAACGAAACTAATGAAGAAATGAGAAAGAGAGAGAAAGAAAGATAGAGAAAGAAAAACCGGAAATGGAACTAAATAAATACAAAAGAGAGAGAGAAAGAGAAAATAAAGAAATAAAATTATATGTAAATGACCAAAAAAAAAAAACAAAAGGGGAGGGAAGAGGCGGTGAGGAGGAAGAAGAAGAGGAGGAGGAATGTGAAAAAATTAAAAACATTTGTCGCCTGGAAAATTTTTTTTTTTTTTCCAAAATGGCGATTAAAAGAGAGAGAGAGAGAAAGAGAGATTTAGTAAATAGAAGGGAAAAGAAAAAGGGCATTAGTAAATATAATAAAAATTAAACTTTAATTTCGTCATCAATAAAAAAAGAAAAAAAAAAATTTTCCGAACGTTTTGATTTTTTTTTTTATTTGATTTTTCGGGGAGGGGGGAGGGGCAGGAAATTTATGTCGCCACTTTGGCAAAAAACACGACGTTTTCGACGTGGCGGAAATATATAGAAAAAAAAAATTATTTTTAACGAATGCGAAACATGTCGCGAAAAGTTTTTAACAAAAAAAAAAAAAAAGGAAAATTTTTTTTGGGTTGCGAGAGAAAATTCTCATCTCTAAGCTTTTTCTGTGGGCGTCCCCCGTTTTATTTAAGTGGGGATCCTTTGAGATTACAGAATCATTTTAAGTGGGAGCCAAAAAATATTTCAAACAGGTAGCATTGGGCCACTGGGGCAACGAGGCGGAGCCTTAAACGCCGGCGCCAAAAACCTGGCCTTTAAAATCATTTCGATAATTTTCCTCTCGATCAAAAACGCGTCGTGGAATTTTTAAAAGACCGTACTCGTACATGCGAAACCAAATGTAAAAATTAATTTTTTTACATTACGTTTTATTTAAAATAAAATGACCTTCTTCGACAATGTTAACGAAATGGCTATTACAATCAACTAACGTTATTTTTTTTATTTTTTTAGTTTTTAAACATCAGCGCGAAAATTTTCTCGTAATGTTAAACGTATACTTGCTAAAGAATTCTAAGTTGATTGATTATAAATATGAAATCTAATGCGAATACGTATTCATTTAACGATTCGTTTCGTTTCGTAAAATAAAAAGAATTCTCTTTCGATTATCGAAATCGTTAAGAAGGTCGTTTTCTTACAAAAAAAAAACAAGAAAAAAGGAAAATTTTTGATCGTTTTCGTTTATATATTATTTTTACTATGATTTCAAATCTGCCATTTAGTCGTATTTTCGTAACGGTTCGTTGTAGGCGAATTTTCATCACGTGGTTTTCTTAAAGAACATTTTCCGATTTTCCGATAATTTAATATTATTATTATTATTTATACGCGACATCTTATTATTGACTTTAATCAATTAATTCGATTTATAAACTTTTTGAGTGTCGTATTTAA